CTGAAATCCTTAAGTTGCAAGTCAAGTACAGAACCTTTTGCAATTAAACCAACTATAGAATCTACAAGAATAATATCATTAGAATTAGGGGTCATTTTAGCAATTTTAGCAAAAGGAATACTTGGATTTGTTGCACTTAAATTATCTCTAAATTTCTCAACTGATTCTGGAGATAGCTTTCTATATTTGCTGGGGCGTGGATCAAATAAGATAGGGAATACACCCCTCCTCTTTCTGCCAGGTGTATCTAAAAGATGTCTTGGTTTGACAAGCTTAGAAGCCATCACAGCTTCATACTCTACTTCTCTCCTACCAGGGATACCCCACTTCCTAGGTTTGGAAGTACATGCACGATCATCCTGTGTAGGCTTTTGCAATTTGCTATTTCTGGACATTTCTCTAACTTCCAGATTACAGCCATCACATGGCAACAACATCCACTTCGTCCAGCAGGACAAATTTTGTCACACTCTGCTGCTACGATTTTTGCAGCTTTGCTAACTTCCATATCGTGCACAAATAAAACCATTCGAAGTACTTTCGAACTTGACATATCAGCAATAGCGTCACCATCAACCGATTTTTTGGTTGACTTCCCGCACTTTTGAGTATGATCTAGGGTATCTGTTGGAACAAATACTGGTAGTATGGAGAAGTCTTTGTTGTAAGCACTGTCATCTGAAGGAAACTTCCCCAAGCTGGCAGAAGCATCGTTTTCCACTTCCGCATTTGAACAGTTTATGCCGTTTTCCCTATAATGCTTTGTTTGGATCAGGGTCAAATACCTTCTCCCTCACTTCAGGCATAGCATTGAGACTGCACACCCTAGAAAGCGAGTACTAGTCAAGCAAAATGTATTGTGCGAACACAAACATTGCCCAATCATCATACTGATCATAGCGATCATCATCATGTGTGAACGCAGTACGCTTACCTTCCAAAAAGCCCCTTTTTATTCCCACCCTGTTTCGCCCTACGACACTTTAGCCAGAATTTCAGTTGATTAACATTTAACTTTCCGATATCCTTGTCATTAACAGAAGCACCAGGGATGTCTTCTGGTTTTAATTCGACTGTGAAATCGTCTAATCGCACATCAGCACAAATATTTTCTGCCGCCATTTTGGATATTAAATTGTGCCAAGGGCTATTAAGCCTCGTTTCCGTGCAGAATTAATTTTTTGCTGAATCGGTGTATTGATATTTCTTATTTTTAGTTTTTTAGCGATGCTCCGGGGTGGCAAATTGTCAAGTTTTAAAGTCCCGGGGGGTGGGGAAGTTTACTACAGTCTTGCCAAAAATAATTACAAATCCCGCGGGTATTGCCCCGAGGGGGGGGGGGGGGGGGG